CCTACATAAATATCTGGACTTCGAAATGTGAATTTTATACTTAGATATGACAACTGATATAGTATATGACTATATCAAAAAAGAAAATATTTAGAATTGGTAATTCAATTTGCCTTTCAGAAAGATATTAGTATCAAAACTTATTACCCTTTTAGTTGCAGTATGCTATGAAATAGGAAGAAGGAAGAATACAACTGTTCCTTACCTACATATTTACATGAACTAAAATAATGCATGAAATTCTAAAGACTTTTTAAAAACAAGGAAAACTCAAAAGTTCCAAAATAGTATAATTTACTTCATAGAAGGTAAATGTAAATGCCAACATTTATAACAAGAACTGAAGCAAATTAAATACTAAAAGGATGAAAGGGTGATGACCAGCCTCTGAAATTATTATAATTACAAATTTAACATTATGAGTCAACAATAGAATATTTTTTCTCTATGAATTAAAGACCCATCAATTTATATTCTATACCTGGAAGTCAGTCAAACATTTTTAAAAACAGCTATGAGCTTTAGAAGTTCAACAAAAGGAAAATTTATCACTGAGGTCATATTAATCTACACAAGATTAACAGCTCACTGCAATAAAAAAATCAAAAGAGTGTTTTATTCATGAAATCTGATAGGTTATCTCAAGGAAAATGTAGACTTTTGTAATATGTTTAGAGGTACTAAACAAATTCAAGTGAACCTCAAGGAACATTATATATAAAGTATTTTTTCTCACAGAAAATAAAAGAACAATGTCATCACAATAGTACAATGAAATATAATCTATACAGCTTCTGGTTCACAGTGTTTGCTTAGATATTGAATATGAACTCTCAATGCATTATTTCCCTTTAACTAATAATATAAACTGCTTTTCATACTTTATATTAAAGATACTATATAAAATATGGAGAATATATTAGGCATAAAGAAGGAGATGAAAAAGATGATGTTAGGAAAAGATGAGATCCCACTTCAACACAAAAAAATCTTTACCTTTATAAAAATAAAAAATAAACGTGTATACTATCATTTATGTACATATTACATTTATTTAAACTAAAAATTAAGAACAACATCTATTTAAATCTAATTCTGTCTGATTTAAAGGTATTAAATTTTAAAAATAGATATTTTATTTTAGAAAACTCAGAAAAATGTTCCTTTGGCAATTCTGACTGAACTAAGATTTGTGGCTTTCTTTGAAATGTTTAACACAAACTTCTCCTTTAAAAATTGTTTTAGAATTTTTCAACCATATTTTAATCTTATGAATTTCTAACAATTTTCAGAAACTTAAGGAGTTCTAACAATTTGAAAATGCATCATTTAAATTAAAATACTGAGGAAGTAGAAAAATTCAGATATTAAGCAATTTTGTTTTATAAGTTTTCATCTATGAAAATAGTTTACTATAAATGTTAGACATAGGTGTATATGAAATGAATATACAGCAGAATTATAAAATGATGGCAAAAAGATAATCTTTTTTTCATAAAAATGCACAAATATATTTAACAACCCCCAAATTAAATCAAGTATCTATATCTACTATGCAATCTTTTTAACCCAGTAAATTCATTCTAAATAGGTAAAATTTTAGTATTACAGCTATTTCTTTAATAATGCTAAGGAAAATGTTATATATACTTGTACATATATTTGTACAAAGAAATATACCCGAGCACAACAGCACCATCTTTTCTTCCCTTTCTGAATATTGAAATGTTTACAGTTAAAGAAAACAGGAAGATGAACAACAACAATGACAAATGAATGTGAAATTTGCTTTTTAGGTTTGTAATCATTGAAGATGAGGAGAGAAATAACTAGGACTCTGAGTTGCCCACCACTAATTATCCATATAAGGCAACCAAGAATAGGAGTGGGTGTTCACATTAGCAGTAATTCCAGACCAAGCACTGCTGCAACATTTTTAGTTTGCTTAACTTCCCCACTCCCACATTTTAACAGCCAAGTGACTGCCTCCTTTAAAAAAATACTGCTGAGTGGGTACATAAACCAGTCCTATTTGCCAACTGTAAAGAGTTCCCGCAAAGCTTGTGGGTATGTGTAAATTAATTCCAACATCTTTTTTTCTATAACTAAGAAGAGACTGAGGAAAACAGACTTTCTTATATTTACTGTAGCCTGGCAATAGTAATATATGTGTGACATATTTTTACCCTTGAAACGCAAAAGTACTTTAGAAATTGGCCAGTACTATATTGAAGTTGACTTATGACTGATGGAAGGTTATAATATACTCTGCCTCATGCAGGCTCTAAGGAAACCTCTATCTGAAAAAAATATATGGGAAATTCTTCTGTAACAAGAAAAGTTCTTTAAACAAAGCTATAAATCCAACATGAGAATTCCAAAGTTTCATGGAATTTTTATGATAGAAATGGTACGATTTCAAAGAAAGAAGAGAATCTTAATATTCATTTACTTAAATATTTTCAATTAAGTGTATTTGTGTATTTTATGCAGACATATAAAATCTCACATACGTATATACAGTTTCATATTGCTCACTACTTTGCTTTATTTTTACATTCAATTTCACTCTTTTATATTTCTCTCCATGATTCTATTCTAGTAATACTTTTTAAATCACTAAAGCCACTCAAGTTTAATAATTTATTAAGTATAGTTTCTTTTTTTATTAAGTATAGTTTCAATTTACCTCTCTTAAGTAATCATCAGAAAGTCTATTAAAATTTAAGATACAAATGGTATAAAAGGAGCATAACTGACTAAGAATATCACTATGCTATGAGGTGACAGATTCTAGTCACAGTTCTGTTTTTTACTTTCAGGACCTTAAAGAAGTCACTATATCTTTTTTATCCCAGTTTTCCTAATTGGAAAACAGAAGGAGCGAATCAAGTGATGTCCAAAATTTTGTCAGCCAATAATCTTTAAAACGTTTAAGCCATACCTGAAAAACTTACAGAGGGTAAACTGTACAGAAAAATGTTTAGAGTTCAGATTATCTGGCTGGCTCAAGCCAAATAACTATAATAAGCACTCATATTGAAGGCTGCCCAATTCCTTATCATTGAAATGGCTGAAGTAATTTTAACTTATTAACATCTATAAGGATAAAATATTTTCTAATCAAATTAACCAGGTAAAGAATATTTCCGGGAAAAGGACTTACATAAGAACACAAACTGCTTTAAATACCACCAAATATTTTCAAAATAATTTACATGGAACAGTTATAAATTATTTGCTTTAAAAGAATTCTCTCTGTGAGAAGGTTTTTGAGAACAAATTCAATTTCTTTAGTAGACACAGTCATTCAGATTTTCTGCTTCCTGTGTCAGTTTTGGTATGCTATCTTTTTTCAAAAAATTAGACTACTTCCTCTTAGTTAAATGCAATTGGCATGAAGTTATTTACATATTCTTTTATCGTTGTAATCTCTGTAGGATATATAATGATTTATCTTTCATGCTTGATATTGGTAATTTGTGTTTTATCTCCTTTTTTAAAAAAAACTGGTCTTACTAAGAACACATAAATTTTATTAATCTTTCCAAAGATTTACGTGCTTTGTTAATTTGGTTTATTGTATCCCTAATTTCTAATTTATTGCCTACTGTTCTTATCTTTTTAATACCTGTGCATGTGCCCTTAAAAATAATGTATATTCTACATTATTGGATGTAGTCTTTTATAACTGTCATTTATGTCAAATGAATTAATGGTTTGTTCAAATCTTCTGTATGTAGAATTTTCATTTGATTCTTTCTTACAGCTCTTATTTCTGGACTGGGAATCTTCTGTGTTATAATGAACACCTTTTTAAGTTTTGAACATTTATAGTAACTGCTTTAAAGCCCTTATATGCTAATTCCAACATCCGTAGAAAGAAAAAAAAATCTTTTTTTATTTATTCTTTCTTTCTTTCTTCATTTATTTATTTATTCATTTTTGTAAACTTTCTACCCTGATCTATATCTGTCTACATATCTTCTTTAAGGCCAATAAATCCTTTTCTTTCTATGTAAACAGGTGAAGCAATTGAAAACTATGCAAGCTGTTACTTCCAGACGCACTTTCTTGAAGTCTTTACTACACATGCACAGTTCAGGGGTCAGCCCATAATTTTAGAAGAGTTTGTACACAGAATTGGGACTCTTCTCTCTGTGTGGTTTTCTCCTTTTACAAAATTTCTTAATCAACTTTTAGTCATTTTGGCAGCACTAAACTCTGTCTGTCTTCTGACATTTCACACCATTAACACCCAGGTTTTCTGCCTAAGGTCTCACTATCTCACACTGCGTGATGTGGGAAAAGCTAGATAAATGGGGATCTTACCCATTGCAGTTCCTTTCAAGAGTCAAATAGTTACCCTCCAGTTTCTGTCTACATGCCATCACTCTCTAGTGCCTTCAAATATTTGTGTGTTTTTTTTAGTTTATAATCATTTATCATTAACAAATGAACATACTGCCCGTGAATAAGAAAACACAAGTATGAAATCTGCTCCTTTTAGAAACTTCATTGTTAACTTTCCACAATTGCTTTATTCAATCTCACCCTCTAATCTGTCTCAGAAAATCAATGTTTTTCAAAACAGTTTATCAACAAATTTGGTATATAAAGTAGCAAAGTAATCTAAGTACTCTTAATAGACTCATTGAAATGCATGATTTACCATAATGAATTGTGGTATGTAGCTTCTAATAAACAAACAAAAAAAAATAGCTAAAACATATACAGTGTTGTTAAGACTGCTTTCTCCTAAATACTGCAAAGTAAAACTTCAGCTGGGTCTACTAATTAACTAAGACACTCAAAAAAAAAAAGTATTCTTCTCCTTTCCTCAGTCAAATTAAAAGGCAACATTGAAAAACAGGTATTAAAAACTTGAGCTTAAAACAACCTATACTTCTTTAAACCTAGACATAAAAGTCAGCAATTACATTGATAACATCAAAAATGACTGCATTAATTTATGCTTTTCCATTATTTAAAATATATACCTGGGTTGTGATTGTGGTTCTGGCTTGATAGGTTGCTGTTCCTTTTTAATAAAGGTTTTCTATAACAAGGAAAAGAAGAGTTGACATAAGTAGAAAAACAATGTCATCACCTGTACAATTTTAATTCCATTAATGTTCTGTTACATTATCAAAGGAAGAATCATTATAAGATATATTATAAATCTACACATTTATATACATTTGTTAGTATATGCAGAGGAGTATGACTGTTGAACCTCCTTCAGAATCTTTTAGCACCCAGTAATACAGGTCCTACTAGTTATTTCAATGAGCAAATATCCTTACAACTCTATTATAGATGAGAATTTTATTTATTTATTTATTTATTTATTTATTTATTTATTCTGTCTTACAAAAGAGATTCAAGATGCCTTTTAATAAATACAGTACTTATGAAAAAGGGAAATAAAATCCAGGGAAGGGGAAAATATGGGTAGAAAAATAAAGCCAAAAATGTTCTGATATTTCTTGATATTTGAGATTTAGCTCTCAAATTCCTATTGAAATGTTATGGACTGAATTGTGCTTCCCCTAAATCCATTTGTGAAAGTCCTAACCCCCAATATCACTATATTTGAAGATAAGGTTTTTAATGAAGTTGTATTTTTCTTTCAGCACGTTGAAAATGCTATCCTACTCCCTCCTGCCCCAGAAACCTGTTGTCAGACTTGTCAGAGCTTTTTTATGTTATTTGCTTTTTTTTCTTTTACTGATTTTAGGATCATTTTATTCTTGACCTGTAAGGCTGATTATTATATGCCTTGAGGTAGTCTTATTTGGGTTGAATCTGCTTGGTATTCTTTGACCTTCTTGTACCTGGATATTAATATCTTTCTCTAGATTTGGAAAGTTCTCAGTTATTATTTCTACATTCTACACTGATCCATCTCTGTCTACATGTCTTCTTTAACGCCAATAACTCTTAGATTTGCCACTTTAAGGCAATTTACTAGATGTTGTATGTGTACTTCATTCTATTTTTTATTTTTTCTCTTCTATGTACTTTGAAACAGCTTGTCTTTGAGTTCACTAATTATTTGTTCTGTTTGAGCAATTCTGCAGTGCAAAGACTTTGATGCATTCTTCAGTTTGTCAATTGAATTTTTCAGCTCTAGAATTTCTGCTTGATTTAAAAAAGTATTTTAATCTCTTTGTTAAATTTATCTCATAGAATTCTAAATTTCTTCTATGTGTTATCTTGAAGTTCATTAAGCATCCTCAAGACAACTATTTTGAATTCCTGTCTAAAAGGTCACATATCTTCATCACTCCAGGATTGAACATTGGTGCCTTATTTTGTCAGTTTGGTGAGGTCATGTTTTCCTGGATATTCTTGGTGCTTGTGGATGTACACTGATGTCTGAGCATTGACAAACTAGGTATTTATTTCAATCTTTGTGGTTTGGGCTTGTTTGTATTCATAATTCTTGAGAGGGCCTTCCAGTAGTTTAAAAGGAACTGAGTGTTGTGACCTAAGGCTGTGGTCACTGCAGCTGTTTCAGCACTATGGTGCACCTTAAAACCAGGAACATTGCAACAGTTGGGTTACCAGGCAAAATCTCTCACTCTCTTCCCTCTGTTTCTTCTAAATAGAAGGAGTCTCTCTCTGTACTGGGCTGCCTGGAGCTGGGGGAGGGATGATGCTGGTACTCCCATGGCCATCACAAGTGGCAGTGTGTAGGTTCCCACTTGAAGACTTGCAGGCCGGCACAGAACTGGCTTTCACCCAGTGCCCACAGTGAATACTGCCTTGCTTCCTCTTTTGCTATTCAAGGCTCAATGGCATTTTAGTCAGAAGGTAGTGAATCTCGCCAAGATTGAGTCTGTCCTATCAGAGCCATTTATTCCCTTTTAGCTAAAAGTGGGTTTAGAAACACCATCCAGGAACAAAGCCCTGGAGTCGGGGGTTTCAAGGAATTTTCCTGGTACTTTATTTCACTGTGGCTTAGCTGGTATTCAAGTTGCAACACAAAGTGCTCTGTACGCTTCCCCTGCCTTCCCCCAAGGAGAAGTCTCTCTCTGAGCTTCAATGCCTGGAGTTGGGGGAGGGGTTATATAGGCATTGGATTCCTTGGCTACCACAGCTGGTATCATACTGGGTCATGCACAGCCCAAGTTCACTGCCTCCAAGACCAGTGTAGCACCAGAATAAAAGCCCATATTTCAATAGTAATGTTTTCTTGCAGCAGTATTATCTAGGCCTAAAGTTTATTTTTATAACCATCATTTATTTTATTTTACTGAATGTTTATTTTTAGATAAACCCCTACTATTGTCCTAGCTTAGAAGGTACTTATTGGAAAAAAGAAAGAATGTACTACATGCAAAATTTTATTTGGCAGTAAATAGATCAAGAAGTATATTCAACTATTCTCACATAGTTTTGAAAGAAAGCACTCTTGGCAAATGCAAGATCTGAATTGTATTTAGATATATCATTTAGATATACCAACCTGCTACCTCCTAAATCACATCACAGTCCCACCCACAGAAATGATTTTCAAATGTGGAGGTTTAGATACAAAAGTTGTACAATTTTAAATGTGTATTTTTGAATCAATTTAATATTATAGAGAAATTCTTAATATATGTTTTCAGTGTCTTTTCTGGTAAAAGGCTATTCACTTTTTGCTTTTGGAGGCCACTTCACAATCTTCCTTTACTGTAGAAGCCAAAATATTCAACCCAGTTCTCAATCATAATTGACCTTCTGCTTTGAGATATCCTCATGTGGGAAAGTTATTTAAGGAGCGCTATACCCATACACATTAGTAATACTGTTACAATAGTTTTAGTACAGTTGTGTCAACATATGCATTCTTTGGTGAGATAAACTGATATGTGATTGTGAAATCACACAAGTGAATACCTGGATGGAAGAATAAAAAGTTGAATGTAGACAGCATTTGAGCAGATAACAGATTAAGAAAATGAACAGACTGCCTTTCCTGGGGAATCCCTCCTCCCACCCACCATCACCTCCTGGGAAGCTAGGTATGCTTGTTCTCTAGTAAAGGGAACATTAACTAAATTTCTTAAAAAGTAATGAAAGAGAATAAACTGTAAAAAGGCAGCCAAATAAGGCAAACATCTGTTACTGAACATGTCTCACTTGACTTCTTTTTAATGTTCTTAGGAATAAATTTATGAACTAGGGAAGGTTTAGCACTAATTAGCTTGTTTTCATCAAACAAAATGCACCAGACATGGATGTTGAATATGAATGAAAATTTCAATAGTAATAATAATAAGACTTAGAAAGTGCTGGTAGCCACGGTTATGGCCACAGGCTTTGGATATTGTGAGTGTTAATATTGTGTTGGTTTAAATTTGCAGTAACTTTTTGAATAATCAGATAAAATGTTGTACAAGTCATGTATTAATTAAACAATAGATTGATCTTTAGTTATATAACTTTAGGCTGATGAGCTGTTAGAATGATCTGAAATAACAAAATACAGAGCTACACAAAGGCAAAGTTTTATAGTGCACGCAGCAGCAGTGGTAATAGTTACAGCTAGTTGTGTAGATCCATAATTATTTATTTGAAACTCTTGGGCCTACACGTATGTAAGAATCCTGAAAATTTTAAATTTTAGAAAGGTAAGAAGATAAGTGGATTCATCATCAAACCAGTAATTACACTTGCTAATATTTATAGCATATGCATATTCTCATTAAGTTGTAGGTAGAGGCCATTATATAGGTCTTGTGTTGGTCGGTATAGATCAGGTTTGGCCACCCAAAATCAGGTGTTAAGTTTTACCCTTATATAGTTTATAACAATTTGTTGGTTTTCAGAGATTTTTAGATTTTCAGAGTCTTAGAATTGTAGACTTGTAGCAGCAGTAGTAATAGTAATAGTAGTGGTGGTAGCAGTTGGTGGAGGAGACTAGGAAAGATCAGGAGATGAGGACACACATGTCCACAAGTGTGCATGTACACATAGTTCAAAAGCAGTGAAAAATACAGCTAGAATATTGTGAAGAAGAGGAAAAAGGGGGAAAATGCTAAATTAAGAATGTTGTCTACATTTTGCTGTAACTTTTTTTTTTCTATATTGACAACAAAGACTCATCCAGTCCTTAATTTCTTTGTTCTGAAATTGACTTTTTTTTTTTCATCATTCCTCTTCTCTGAAATCAGTGGCCATTTTCATTTTGTCAGACAGTTTTCTTGTTGATTTCTTTTTTTCTGGTTTTCTAACACTCATTAGAAGACTGCTTTTTCTACCACAGGCAAGGCATGTTGCATTGGCTAGATGGAAGGACTAGGTCTATCTTAGGAATACAAACCCTAAACTTTGACTCTTAGAGGAACCTAGTAAGAAAGAATAGGTCACAAATGGTGAGACCTGGTTGGTAGTAATTAAGAGGCCACATGAAGTTGTTCTGTTAGGAATTTTTCAAAAAATGGATGCCATATCAATGATGAAAGGTTATTTTAAGATACTTCAGCCCTCAGTGATTGATTCCTAATCTGACTCCAGTTTTATTCTTTAACTAAACATATAGGATAACTTTTAACCTAACATTATTTTAGGTCCTTGTATTCTCCTTTTATTCTTTCTACTCCTGTTACCACATATTCATGAACATTCCATAATGCCTTTTAACATTTGCCTTTTATCATGTGTTAAGACTATCTTTTAAAATTATGCTTTCAATACATACATTTTGAAGAAAACTCAATTGAGCAAAAATAATTAGAAAATCAACCATAATTATTATAAAAATAGTTCATAGCCATATTTTTTCAAAAATAATTCTTTCTATATTAATATATTTCTTCCCATAAAATCAATGATAGCAATATCCCATTTATGGAAATAACTTGTTTTTAACTTGGCAATTGAACAGTGTTTTGGCAAAATGTAGTACACTAGATTTGTAGTTAAGTTTTTGTAGATTTAATATTTTTTCAATAAATTTCTTACAGTCTAAGTTTTGGCACCTCTCCTACTCCTACCTTTTTGCTTTGTCTTTTGTTATACATTGTTAAATTGCCCTCTAAATAGTGTTAGTTTTGAATTTTTTGG